TCAAGTGGAAGTGTATTTTTCGGAACCCCAAAGAACACGTCTCCCTCTTACATGCACCCCCTCCCTGATCAATCACGCATTCAGGCGTAAACAATAACAGAGATGAAATTGTCTTGAGTTTGTGGCTCTTGACGTACGTGCATTGACGTACAAGACTGTTGAAAGCACAGGCGCTTGGAATGTCTCAATAAAAATAAATATTCACACAATTTTTCACAATGATCGACCGCCTGTGTACAAAATAGGTAAACGTATGTGAAACATATACGGTTAGTAGTAGCCAGTGAAAAAAATACACGGGGGCTCGGGGCGATTTACCCTCCGAAATGCCCAAAAGAGCCCCGTAAATGCCAAAAAGAGCCCCCGTAAATTTGCATAGAGTTCAATGCAAACCAAATTTTAGAGTGCTATTTTTATGCAAGTGAGCTTGAAAAGTAGACTCCAAAAATTAATTATATTTTTTTCCCTGCTTACTGCGACATATCCGTGACTAACTGACACCACTAAATTGGTAAAATGATCCATGCACCTTAAGAAATGCTGAGAAATTACGTGGTTATCATCGCAGAACTCCCGAACACCGTACGTCACAAAGCTATATGTAAACAAACACGCGTGTTGCGAGGTGCCTGCCTCCGATATCCATTTTGAGGCCAGCTAAGCCAAGCATAAAGCGCGCGAGCAAGACGTCACACACACAGCTACGTTCATTGGCTAAAACAATCGAGTAGCGCGGTTAGGGATTTTCGGAATTATTTAATTTGAAGAAAAACTTCAATGTTCAACAGTGCTCAATTTTAAGGTTTTTTTTAGGTTGTCCGGAGGACAACCAAGAGAGTAGCATATGGTTGTCCCTCAAGAGTTTTGGTTGTCCGGATATTATTTAAACATGTGCTGCATGCGCTCTGCTCACCTGATGCTCAGTGCTGTAAAGCAAAAGGCCTAATCATGTACATTTTGTACGTATTGCAGTGACAGCAGACATGGCCATTCGCATTGTTTCACTCATTATATATGAAGAGAATAAAATATTGGTAATGTGGTCAATGAGGTATAATAATAGTAATTAAAAGTTGCTTGAAATTTATTTCATAACATTTACATTAAGTTAACTAACATTACTAACATTAGGCGCGTTCACACTGGCGCGAATAAGCAGGATGCAAATCCCGGTTTTTGCATCGCGATCGAAATACCGAGATCTTTATATTCGTAAATGCGCGGGCGTATCACTCTTAAAGGCGCGACGACACAGCGATTGCATCGGGCGATTGCAGTCGCCCGATCTATCGGCGCATCGTGACACACCGGCGATTGGCATGCGGGCAGATGGCCATTGCCGTTCTTGCGCGCGCAGTGCAGCGATTGAGCTGTTATGAACTTCTGATTGGCTGATGAATTGTACATCGGAGCGATATTTATCGCCGGTGCGGCGGACACCACCAGGCGATTGCATCGGCGATGGCATCGGTCCGGACTGGCATTGGGCGATAATATCAAAACGTTTGA